ATGGGGGGGCAGGATAGGTGGTTGTTGGGTGCTCTGGTGTGGTTCGCTTCCTCTTTCCTATCAAACATCTATCATTCATCCTAATCTCTCCTCCTCCTTTTTTGCGTTTGTTACTCTCATGTACCACTTCTAATCTTTGGCCGCTCTTACAATTGACCTTATTGTATTGCAAGTGCCGTGAAACCTTTACTAAAACTAAACTTGAGAGCAGTTGGAGGGAGGGGAGAGCACAAACACACTAACACACATATACCCCACACAGAAACAACTCCTCCCACACACACAGACACACACACGCGCGCGCGCACACACACACACACACACACACACACACACACACACACACATACACACACGCGCGCGCGCGCACACACACAGGTATCTCAACTGCTGAGTGAACAAGACCCCGATAAGCCACACGGAAGTGACTGCTCCAAGGAGCCTCTTCAGCCAGTGACATTAGCCATTGGCGGCTGGAACCGGTGGCCTGTTGGATATGACACGGGGAATGGCTGAGAGAAACGGGTCGCTGGGGTTTGTTGTGCTGTGATTTGTCTCTTGGGTCGTGCTTGGTGTGTGGGGTGGGGTCATGTGAGGTGATGTGGGGGATGAAATGTTGGGTGAGGTTGTGAAGTATGGGATGAGGTTATGTGGGGTGAGGTGTGAGGTGAAGTCGTGTGTGAAATGTGGGGTGAGGTAATGTGAGGTGTGGGGTAAAGTCGTTTGTGGTGAAATGTGGGGTGAGGTAATGTGAGGTGTGGGGTAAAGTCGTGTGTGGTGAAATGTGGGGTGAGGTAATGTGAGGTGTGGGGTTAAGTCGTGTGTGGTGAAATGTGGGGTGAAGTAATGTGAGGTGTGGGGTAAAGTCGTGTAAGGTGCAGTGTATAGGTTGAGGTCATATGGGGTGAGATGTGGGGGTGAGATGTGGGGGTGAAATGAGTGATAAGGTCGTATGGGGTGAAGTATGAGATGAAGATTGGGTGAGGTTGGGTGGAGTTTTCCTTCTGTCTCTGTGTGTGTGCTATGTGTTGTGTGTACTCTGTGAAGCTTGTACTCCGATGAGAAACTGGTAGTTGGCCTCTGGTGTCGTTTGCGCCTTCTTTCCCATCAAACATCTATCACATCCTCCTGATCTCTCCTCCTTTTTGTGTTTGTTACTTTCTTGGAACACCTCTAATCGTCGGCACTTATTATGACTTATATGACCTTATTGTATTGCGAGCGCCGGAAAACTCTTACTAAAACTAAACTCCGATGAGAAGAACACTGTGTCAAGTGTCCGATATCTCTGATCCTGTCATGCGTGTGTCAAGTGTGTGTACCCCGGCCTGTACACGCGTGTCAAGTGTGTGATATAATCTCTGATCTTGAAAATTTTCTCTGTGCTGTGTGTCGGAGACACGGGGAGATAGCAAACGGGGTCGCTGTGTGTTGTTAGTGTGCTGTTGTGTGCTAGAATTATATGTTGTATTTTTATGAATGTATGTGTTTGTG